ATTCTCCGACGTCACCATGAAAGTAAAAACAGAATTATTCCTCTGTTGTTCTATTTTATTGAAGTTCGGACGTGCCAAGGAACTTTATAAAAAACCTCCCTGTATGTATATATATATGTTTAATCTGTAATATATCTTTGTTGTGTTTTAAGTATGCATTAAAACGTTATATTATTATGAAAGTAAAAACACTACGTTACATGAAAAGTGATATTTTGACTATAATCTTTGTTAAACTCTATAAGTTTACGATTTTTTAGTTATTCTGACATGAAATAATGAATTCATAATAAATTACGTGACTTTACCTCCAGTCTCTCCCCAACCAGTCACGTGACAGATTGTTCCTGGATCAACTATAAAATCTCGGTCTGGAAGGCACACAGGATGAACATAACTATTTAACGTCACAGGAGCATTAAGCCTAACAAGTGCGATATCATTTTCCTTTTGTCGTAACCAAGAGACAGAAGGCTAAAATATAGAAAAAAATATCGGTTTCTACCTTGCATTCTTTCCTATTTCGGTGAATAACTTTAAAATAAATCTAGATAATAGAGATGCTCAACATTTTGAAATGTTCCCCGAAGTTGGCGAATGAAAATTTTTCCCCACGTCAGTTTCTCTACTCCCAAATTATGTCTAGCTCCATGTAAAAGTTATCAACATAATATGGTCATGTAGAAAATATGAAACGTTCTTGAGAAAATTTTGCCACAAAAAATTAACATAGTGAAGTTCGAAAGGAGTAATCTAGTTTGTTAGAAGTCAAAGATATTTAACATAGATTGAAATAAATGCTTTAATCTAATTTAACGAATCAAGAGGTGCTTTAATCTAGGCAAGAAATGGTTTAACCTTCCAGGGTTCGAACCCTTTATACTCCGGGTGAGGTATAATGGTTTCGATGTAGCGGATCTGTTCTGTTTCATCTTTCAACAGCTTCTTAAACTTTCCAATATGAACTCGCCATTGTTTGGTGTCTCTGAAACTAAATGAGAGATGAAATTTAAAACTAATTTCTTTCATTAACTATTTCACTTAAAACTTTAATTGAAACTACAGAGTGATTCCTTTCAACCATGTTTTACAAAGAGTTGAATACTTTATACTAAAACAATGTTGACTATCAAATCAACAAGTCACGTGACAACCACAGTCGAATATAAAGTCGCGGTGGAATGACATGTATCAAACTTACACCTGGACATACATTGGTTACATGTGAACGGTGTGATGCCACCGATAACTGATCAACATGGTATGGGTTCACTAAAGTTTCCCGTTCAACCATCACATACTTCAAACAGCTGAAGAATGCAATGAATGATATTCCACAAGAAGACATATGAGTCAAGGTGTTGAATGCAGTGCCTGTGGATCAGACTGTTTAAACAGACGCTGAGTAACAGCTATCCTCATACATTAAAGGGATTATGAAAAGCACAGAGAGGACGGAGGTGCTTTGGACATGACAGCCTTACGACGAAACGTTTTAGAATAGTGATTACGCTGCAGGACTATTATCAAGATGCACAGACTTCAGATACAGCATGATCGGACGTGGCGACATGAACTATAACGGCATGATGAAACTCCAAAATTGCTTTAATATAATGTATTCAACCGCTGTGCAAGAAATGCTTCAATCAGATGTACAATACCGGTAATAAAGAGTTTTAATTTACTGTCCAACATTACCTTGTAAGTGGTAGTATATATTTTTAATTTAACACAAAGGTTATAAGTTAAATACAAATATTAAAGAATTGGAACATTTTAAAGGTTGACACAAAATATGATGAAAGTCACAAATGTTTAAAGATCTTGAATTATTTCAGTTTATTTGAGTTAGAATAAAGGAGAATCAAGGTAGGGTTAAACAGTTCAAATTCAAATAAAAAACAAATACGTATATACTTTCAACGTGAAAGAAATTTAACCAATAATGAGAGAGAATTGGTACACAAGTCCGTAACTTAAAATATCATAAATATAGTATGTGAGTTTAAAAATATCACAAGGTTTTTAACTGATAATAATATAATATGAGTTGTTGATAATATTTTCATTTGAAATTCAGGCTTATACCAAATAAATGTACAGGTTTATTTGTTTTTTGCACAGGTAAGGCATCCACTATTCTCAAGTCGCATATATGTATGCAAACCATTATATCTCAAAATTGAAAGTACCCTCTTAGTGGTCTTGATAGTAAGACAAGAGAGAATCCTCAATAGCCGCGGCAATTGATATTCTTTGAGGCAGAGTTAGAGTAAATTAATCTTTTTATTTTTCTTTTTATTAGCTATATTTTTGTGCGCCAGCAAAACCAAGCGTGGGGAGCGCGTATACCCGATTCTATTTTATTACTCATCAGGACCTCTACCAGCCTACCCTCATATTGAAATTCCTTTAGGCAGGATTAAAGTAAATTAATCTATGAGACCTTGGGCGTGGTCAAATACATCAATCGAAATGATTTGACCTCCTGAGTCAAAAACTGTAATTAGAGTCAGTCAATAGATGATGGAGCTCGAGCTAAACGTTTGTACTTAGAAAAAAAAAAAAAAAACTCAGAGCCTTTCTACGAGCCACTGAGCTGGGGCTAAAGAAAAACTAGCTAATTTAGGGTAAAATGGGATGATGATCATAAAACACGAAATTCACCTTACAGATATTTTAGTATAAACTTGTAGGATAAAACATAGTGTTGCGTCATCGAG